AGAGAGAGAGAGAAAATAAGTTGTCATATTGATAAAATGCATTAAAAATATAAACATAAAAATTTTTAATAACTAAAAACTAGAAAACAATGACAACTACAAATCACAGAACACTTTCAATTTGTCAGGAATATTCCATTTAAATCCTAACAACTCTACCATGTAGGTATGTATGCTTATCCTTATTTTACAGTGGAGGACACTCATTTTCAGAGAGATTGAATAACTTGTTCAGGTTACTATGGCTAATAAGTGACACCAAAGGCCATATTTTAATACTATATCGACTGAATTAATGAGATTGTCTTAAATATATTCTGGAGTGAGAAAAATATAGCATAAGCTGCATCTGAAAAAATAAAGTAACTTGGTTAAACTTGTTGGTATAGTTCTCTGAACACTAACAACTGATCTAAGCACTACTTAGTCAAAATAGGTTTATTGGATCCAGATTCAGAGTGTGAATTAGGAATAGCAGGTTGTATTAGCCATACTGTGGTTTATTTCACATGGCACCAATTAATTTTTGGCCCTGTTTCCATGTGTACTAGAAAAGGAAGGCAGTTATTTGAATAATTCACTGAAACACATCCAGTTTTACATTTAAAAACTTTACTGAAAATACTCTAAGGAACTGGAAGTTTTCATATATTTATCTCTGAGTAAACTGAGTTCTCCAATTTGCTTTTAGGTATTGATAGATCCCCAACATTTCCTTTAAAAATTCTTTTTTATTTTAAACAAAAGGATAGTTAGCTTTTCTCACATTTTCTTAAAAGTAAAGTAAAATATTCCTTGATATATACTAGGCAGGTCTAAATGAGCTTCTATTATACAAAAAGGATTAGAAATTAAGTAATTATTAAATGTTACAAATCTAAATGTTCTTTCATTTTCTTAACTTATCTGTGATGGCAAAAACACTAAAGATTACACAAATGTACTTAACTAGTACATTTATTTCCCAAACTGAATTGTTTTTTCTTTTTAAACTTTTATTTATTTTATGTGGTGCTGAGGTTCAAACCTAGGATCTCACAGGTGCTACGCAAGTGCTCTACCACCGAGCTACAACCCCAGCCCCACAAACTCAATTCTTGATTGCTTATATTAACCCAACATAGTCCACATCCAGACTTACCCATCTCTGCTAATATAGGCAAATTCATTTTTCCATTTTCTCAGACCATTTGATCATCCTTGATTTCTCTATTTTTCTAGAACCCCAAATCCATTATGTCATCAAATCATTTAGATTTTCAAAATATTTCCAGAACCCAGATTTGTCTCAAAGCCTTTACAACTCTAGGACAAGCTACCATCAATTTTTTTTTTCTTGGCCTGGGATACTGCAATAAGACCTCTGTCACTCTACACACTATTTTCAATTCAGCAACCAGAGTAAGCATTTTAAAGCCTAAATCATATGATGTCAGTCCTCTGCCAAAATCTTCCCAGGCCCAGGCACATAAGACCTTCTACTCCATGACTTCCTAGTACTCCTGTCACCTCTTATAATTTTCTTCCTGGGTCAATCTTTGTCTGCTAAAATGGCCTCCTGGCAATTCTTTCAACTTTACAGAATTGTCTCCACCTCAGGGACTTGATATAGGTTGTTCTTTGCTGTCTGGAATACTTTTTTCAGTTATTTGTACTTTCCCAAACCCTTATTCAAATACCACTTTCTCAGTGAGGCCTACCCCACATGCCCAATTTAAAATTACAACTCTTCCATTTCACTTGTGCTTTATTTCATTCCATATCACTGGTTTTACAATTTTTCCCCCTCATAAGGCTCACTGTCTTATAACATATTATCTAACCCAGGTATTTATTTTATTGTCTAATTCCTCCTAGTGAATGAGTTCAATAATGGCCTGGATTCATGTCTCTTGTTCACTACTATATCTGCAGCTTCTAAAATATGTCAGGAACATCGTAAACCCACAGTAAATATTTGTTGAAATGTAAAAGTTGTTTGTTTCTACCACAAGAATCTTAGATATTGGATTCCATGGGAATGGGAATAATTAAATTCCCATGTGCCTACAGAGTTCAAGGGCTTTTTGAAATCCTGATATTCTGATTCCCTTCCCATTCTTACTCTTAAAAACACAAACTGTTTTCTTAGAAGCCAAATGCTAATCTTAAAATATACTGGAGTGTTAAAACTACAAGAGGTTAATGATGATTATAGTCTCATAAGTTACCGTAGTTCTCTTCCTGCCCCCCCCCCACCCCCCGCCAGTGCTATGGATTGAACTCAGGGCTTTGTGCATGCTAGGCAAGTAGCACTGCAATTCTTAACATTTCTTTTCTCAACATTGTGTTGCTCTTCCTGCTTTGAAATATGAGAATATAATTGGAAGGTATAGGAAGTAATTTAATTGCACATGAATAATTTTGTGATCCCCACCACCTCTATATGTCAATAAATTTGATTTTTTTTCCATGTTGGTTTTTATTTTGAAATGAATAACATCATTTGAAAATCCAGGTCAGCCTAAAGCAAGAGTTCTGCATATTCACATAATTTTTGGTAGTATAAATGCTATCATTATTCTGCACAACTTTAGGATCCATCTTTGGCCATTCCTATATTAAAGGGGAATAGAATTTCAGGACTGCAAGGTTTTAGCTCATTTGGTTCAATCACCTCATTCTACAGATATGAAAACTGAGGCTTATAGACTTGCCCAAGTACCACACAACTGTATGCTTTTTTGGGTTAGAAAAGGTCGCTCTAAAAATAAAACAAGATTTGAGATTTTAATTGAAAAATAGTTCTCAATGTCAGAAAATTAGATGAATATAGTAACAAATGCATTTAAAATTCGAAGTAATGTGCAATTCTACCAGTTTACTTCCATCATGACAACTTCAGCATTACAAAACTAAGGCAAATGTAGCAATGGATAAAATAATTGATAAATATTAATAAAGTTTCCATAGGCATCCTAACAAATGAGTCCTGACTCTCAAGAGAGTAAAAATTTGCAGGCCACTTGAAGCAAACCATCCCCATTATATCCACAAGTGAAGAAACCACTTTATTACAGAGATGGTTGCAAATTAGCCACAGCTTGTGCTGTTCTTTAGAGAATGACAACAGCTTTTGTTACTTAATCCAATAATTTTTATGAAGCCAAAAGACCTTTTTACTTAGATATGTGGACTTTTCTCTCTGTATAGGTGACTCTTATATGAAGGGTTATCATTCCAGAGGAATGTAAATGTCTATGCTAACAATGTTTCATATTCCTTTAGTGACTTTGTTCAAGGTATAGGGACATTTTTTGTGGTGTGATGAATTAATCCACTTGGTCTCCTGATGTGTTTCCTCATCAGGAGAAAACTCTTAACACTTCAGCAACAGTTTTATTGCTTCAGTTTTGTTATAATTAAGATATTCTAGTAAAGTTGATAGCTTAGGATATTTGATACTAGTATAATAGAAAGTAATTTTGCACCAATGTGGACAACAATGTCTCAAACTACAAGCAAAACTGGCTAAATCAAACTCTGAAAACCAAATTTGTACAGATTACAGGAAGTAGAGGCACTAAGGTAATTCAAGAGACTTCAAAGCCATGATCTCTGCCAACAGTATAATTCAAAATGTCTTAAGAATGAATTTTTAAGCTCTCTGTACTAAGGCCTTAGCTCAATTTTCTTTCTCCATGTTCCACTTTCATTAACTCCAGTTGTACGTGATCACAGGGGAGTAAAAAATCAGTAGCCCGACAGTAATATATGTATTCTAGTCTGATAAGCTAAGTCAAATCTGATTTCCATGATGCTGGTAAAACTCCCATGCACCAGTTACTATGTACAGCAATATTAACTGAACATAATTTTAATTAAGATAATCTGCTTGGAGTTATATTTCTTTCAATATAATTTTTCTCTTGACTATTTTCTTGGCAATGTATTAAACATCATTTCGACTATTTTATATAAATTAGTCTTCCTTTTTAAGAAGTTAGGACAATTCTGTTGCTTTCCATTGTACTGCACTGCCTAGCAGGAACTGATTCTGGATTTACACTTTTCTGAACTTTCATAACCTGAAAATATTTATTTTTCCCAAGTTTTAAGGATTTGGCAAATATTAAAGTGCTCGAGCGATTGAAAGGAACCAAACGCAAAACGCATAGATAATCCAACTATAATTCATAAAGGAAATAACCAAATAAATCACTATTTTAAACAGCATAAGCAAATAGGAGAAAGGGATTATTTCAGAACGTAGTATTCATAGGCAAGAAGATAAATGAAGCAGTAATGCTTGCAAATACCTGGTAAAGGTTAACAGTTGAATTTCTATTAAATATTTCATAATATGTGACATGTAGGAATGGATGTGAGCATGGATAATCGGTTTTCTTTCCTAAGAAGCTGAAAATATTAAAAATATAAATAAGAATCTAAATGTTCCAAAGAGTGATCCAAAGAGTGAAAATCTTAAAAAGATTTTCATCTCTAACCAAAAATCGGGAGAGAAGACTGTTATTGAGTTTTGGGGCCTTCCAAGAAGCTGGGGCAATGGGAAGACCCCTTCTCCAAATCCTGATTCCTGCTACCAAGACCTAAATTGCTTCTTAGAAAAGAAAACATGTGGGGATCAGCACAGTGGGCCCATTTTACAGAATTATTCTCTTAACCTCATGTTCCCACCATTCCCACAATTCTTGAAGAGAGCACTGTGTTGGCCCCTTTGGGTTCCAGAGTGGAAAACAAACTCCTGATGTAGGTGACGGAATCCTTCAGGAACGCTGGCTCTCCCACGCCAGGCCCACTCCTAAGGCAGCGTACACCTTTTGGCTCCCATCTCAGTTCCAAACCACTCGCGACCCGAGGCCCATAGCGTGGCTTGGGATTGCACACTTCGGGCTCTCAGGCCAACAGCGACCTGCCCCCGGGAGCCTGGCGGAAGTAGCTTGCTCAGGACGGAGGCCGCGCGTCACCTGGCTCAGTGCGCATGCGCCCGCGCCGCCAGGAGTGGGGGCGTCGGTATCGCTACCAACGCGGTCTCGCCCACCCCCGCCCCGCCGAGTGGAGCTCCCGCCATCTTGCCCCGCCCCCCCACAGCCCAGTCACCTTTTCCCTTTCTACACTCTCTGTCCCCCACTCCGTCCCTTTTCAATCGTGTCCCAGGCCTCAGCAGCAGAAACCGCGCCATCTCTACCCCTACATTCTCCACGCGGGACGCGCAGCCGTGCCTACAAGTGTCCTTAAAGCAGAGGTTGTAGGGGGTGTGGGGAGCGGTGGGGAGCGGGGAAGAGGTCAGGGGACGCGAGGGGCGCAGAGCGCGGAGCCCGGCATTTCGCGCTCGCGTGCCTGCCCTGCCCTGCCCCCGGCTGCCGGCGAGCAATTGGCGTGTCCACCCGAGGGCTGCCAAGCGGGCCGCTGTGTGCGGCGCCGACCCAGCGCGGCGCCTGGGTTCCCTGCGGTTGTGGGGTTGACTCCTGACTCCTCCCCGTTGGCCGGTGGGCGTGGGGCTCGCAGAGCTGGGCCGGCGAGCCGCGTCGGTGCTGGGCTCTACGCTAAGAGGTGCCCTCGCGGGTCTTTTAGGGAGTGCTGGGGGAGCGGGGCTCTAGGGGAAGAGGTCGCAGCATGGCCTGGTGGAGGAAGACTTCGGAGAGCTTTACTCCTCGTGTAGCGCCCAGAAAGGAAAAGCTCTACCGTTCTAGATGAAACGAGCCCACATCTGTGACCACCGGGGAAATTATGTAGCCTGTCTTTGCCTCGGTTTCGGGGTCTGTAAAATGGGGATTGTAATAGCTTAGTTTAAAATCGTGAGGTTTCTAGAACAGTGTTTTGCACTGCTAAGTATGACAGCTATGATGCTTTTGATCTCCATGTTTTAATAGTTCAGAAAGACTGATTCTTATTTTCTCAGTTAAATATCAGGACACTTGGCTGATAAATGAGACTGAAGTTATGGTATAGTACCTAAAAGAGCATCCTGGACACAGTGCTATTATTCTACACGTGAATAAATTAGCATATCTTGGGAGATAGAAACTTTACGTTATTCTAAAGAAGTTGAGAATATATTTATCTGGGAGGAGAAGACCTCTGCAAAGATGTACTTGAAGAAGGAACTGGTGGAATTTCTGGAATGTTCCAAATAGGCTGAGTTTGACCTGCTGTGAGGAACAATTATTTGATAGTATTCTGCAAAACCAGAATGCACTTTTTTTGTGTACAGTTGCAGGTTTCTTGTCTCAGGATATTCAAGCAAAGTGTTATAAGTCTAAAGGCACACTGCCCAATAGAACTTTCTGCCATAACGGAAATACTGTGCAATGTTATTTAATCTTTGTGGTCTCATTATGATAGTTACTAGGCACCAGTTGACACTGAGCACTTGAAGTGCGGAAAGTGCCACTGAGGAACTTTTTTTTTTCTTTTTAAGATTTAAAATTATTTTTTCTACGTTTAAAAATTTATTTATTTTAGAGGAACTTAATTTTTAATTTTATTTATTAATAAATTAATTCCAATTTAAATAGCTATATATAACTACATGATACTGCTTGTGATAGTGAAGGTCTAAAATTTTGACAGCCCTTCTAATTTTTGTTTTGGTTGAGTTTTAAATCGGAAAAGCCAGGTCTTGTAACATTTATTTTCTTAAGTATCATCATACATATATTCAAATAATGCTTTTAACTCAAATACTACAGTTCAAATCATTGGTCTGTTAGTACATATTTATCTTTGACAACTAAAGCAAAGGATTCTTTGGACTCCTAGCTTGTAAAACGACTGCAGGATTTAGTTGGAGAGGCCTAACAATGCTAACTAGAATCATTGTTATACTATATTGTGATCATGGGTTTCCATCATCTTTTATAATTTTGGTTATTTTCTTTAAAGCTTTTTCCATTTGAAAGATTTTTTTTTTTGGTGTTTTTAACCTTTTGTGTAATAAAGCAGTTTGATAAATTATAGTAGTTTGAAAATGGAAAATTTTCCATTATCATTTGCAAATTGGGACATTTGAGAAGTACTTTTATTATTTGTGTTCAAAACTTAGTTACGTGAAATTTGTTGATATATCTTTCAAAGATTCTTTGAAATATGTGTTTTTCAGCGTATAAAATATAAAAATAAAACATTTAAAATTTTTTTTGGTTGCGCTGGAATAGAACCTGGGACTCCCAAATGCTAAGCATGCGCTCTACCTACCACTGAGGTACCCCCAACCCCTGAAAATAAAACTTAAAAAAACCCGAAAAACAAAACAAAAACTACAGATAGCAACCTTAACTCTGGCCTGATGCCTGTACAATGACACCTTTTTTCTCAAGGCTGAAGATAGTTGGTAGATCTGGAACAATAACTTAAAACTCATGAATTAAGTCATGTGCAGAGAATAGTTCATAACATACTAACAAAATGGGTTCTTATGTAGGGTGGCCCTATACTTTAATGCTTCTGTGAAGCCATGTTTGTTCTAGTATAGTTATTAATAGAACCTTTTCGATTATCAAAAATGTCTCATTTGGGGCCGGGGTTGTGGTTTAGTAGTAGAGCTCCTGCCTAGCATGCATGAGGCACTGGGTTCATCCCCGGGACCACATAAAAATAAACAAAATAAAGGTATTGTGTCTATCTACAACTAAAAAAATAGTAAAAAAATGTCTAATTTGGGACTAAATAATAATATGGTCACCATATTTTCAGGCATGTTGAAATCCATAATATATAATTTTAGAGAAATTAACCATACTGCCATTTCAGAAATATTACTACTTCTAAAACAGTGACAGTTACTGCTTTTGTTTTAAAGTAATAGATGAGATACTTGGAATAAGGCCAGCAAGTTACTTGTCCATTTAAGGCACTGGTAATTTTAAGATTTTGTTTTGGATAGAAATCTTAAGTATTGATTTTTGTTTATTGGAGTGGGGGGATCTGTTGTTGTAGGGGACTACAAAGAAAGTCTCTCTCAGTCAAATCAGAAGATTGAGTATTTGTATTGAAATAACATCTGTTTTATTTTATGGTGAGGTTGAATAGTGAAATCCGAAATCTGCTTGCTGTGTTTTAGAATGTTAAAGAATTTGCTTAGAGTTGTTTACATAAATAATGAGAAATAATTCAGACAAATGCATTATTGTATTAATTGAATTTGTACTGTAGTGGATAAAGTATTTTATTGAGAGTCAGGCACACCTAGTTTGAGTCTTTGTTCAATTACTTAATAATGATGTGATTTGGGGCAAGTTATTTAATTTTTCTAAAAAGCCTCAGTTTTTTTTATTTATAAAATGAAGATAGTAATAGCACCCACTTCCTGACTTATAAGAGATAAATGAGATGCAACTTTATAAATATTAGCAATTATAGCCTTAAGTTTGATCTTGAAGAAACACTAGTATTCTGAGGTGCACTGTGGATTGATGGAAAGAACACTTAAAATGAATTAAAAAAAAAAAAAAAAAAACAACTAGCTTTTGTCCTTTCTACCATATTCTCTTTGCCACTTTAGTTGAGATATTTCACTGAGCCTCAGTTGCCTCTTCAGTAAAATGAAATTAGTACTTCTTTCCATTCTCCCCAAAAGATTGTTGGTGAGCATCCAATAAGATTTATATTTAGCTGAGCGTGGTGACACGTGTAATCCCAGTGTCTTGAGAGACTGAGGCAGGAGGATCCCAAGTTCAAAGCCAGCCTCAGAAATTTAGGAAGGCCCTAAGCAACTTAGTGAGACCCTGTCTCTAAATAAAATTTAAAAAGGACTGGGGATGTGGTGCAGTGTTTAAGTGCCCCTGGGTTCAATTCCTGGTACACACACACACACACACACACACACACATTTATAAATTGTAGTCTTATTTTATTGACATTTTTATGTTTATTTTATTTCATCTTGTCAACCTAGTACCCCTCGCCATAAAGACTGACTCTAAATCTGTAAAAATTGTATATTTTGTGTAAGAGCATAAGTAGTATATAAAATGGCACTATTACTGCAAACTTTTTTCCCCCCAGACTGTTGAGTCACTGCAGTGGTGCTTTATTGAGCTGGTTACAACTCTGTACACAGTATTAGCAACTCTACTAATATTGCTAAGAGAGAACCAACCTTTTTCTTGGGCACTTGATGTGTTCCATGGAGTTTGCTGAAAACACTTTCCCTGTATTTATTTCCCTGTATTTATTTATCCAGGCAGGTAAGTTTTATCTAATGATACCAATGATGCTCTTTCTTTCTGGAACGGGTTTGTCAGGTGTTTTTTTTTTTTTAAGTATATATATATATATATTTTTTAGATGTACACAATACCTTTCTTTTGTTTATTTTTATGTGGTGCTGAGGATCAAACCCAGGACCTCGCATGTGCTAGGCAAGCACTTTACTGCTGAGCCACAACCCCAGCCCTTGTCAGGTGTTTTTGCACTCTAGTACTGGCCATAATAATATTTGGCTGATAGTTATTGAATGTGTTTAAGGTTAAATAAAGATAATCAACATTAAAAATCATGTTATTTGGCATATGGTATGTGATCATTACTGAAAAAGTGCTGTATTCATTGAATTCAGAGGACAGTATATAGAAATAAGTTCTTCAATATTTGCATAATAAACTAAAGTATTAACAAATGTAAATTATTTAAACTATCTTGACTTGTACTTTGCTATTTTAAATGGTGTAGCTGTTTCTGACTGAATCCTATATATTTTAACTTTATTCATATATCTTCTTTTTTAAAAATAAATTTATTTTTTAGTTGCAGTTGTACACAATACCTTTATTTTATTTATTTATTTTTATGTGGTGCTGAGGATTGAACCTAGGGCCCCGTATGTGCAAGGCGAGTGCTCTACTGCTGAGCCACAACCCTAGTCCTTAAACAACTTTTTTTAGATATGAGGGAACTGAGGCAGAGAGGTGACATGACTTGCCCAAAGTCAGATGGTAATGGATAGAGCCTGTGTTTGAACCCCATAACCCTCCTCTTTACTGCTGCATTGTGGTTCTATTTAGGTAGATATTTCACAACAAAATTTCCTATGACAAATTGTGGCAGTCTTGTGAGTTGTGATAAACTTTTTTTAAATTTTTATGTTTCTTGTTGGATGGTAGAAAGAACTCTGGACTACAAGTCAGCGGGACCTTAGTTTTAGTCCTGACTTGTATTGCTAAATAGTGGTGTGTCCTTGGGCAGTTCAAGAAACTTCAATCAGAATGGCAATCATCAAGAATAAAAGTAACGGGCAGGAGTTGT